TTCCAAGTGGATCTGTAAGTTCCTCTGACCGACTGGCTAAGACAGTTGGATAGATAGATGTACGATAATCGAGGGCCCAGCGCTGTTTGCTTCGCTTCACAGCGGACAAGACTCAAGAAGTAGTTGATACTCCTGTTATCAGAGTTCCCCTTGTATTGTTTCTTGTCGGGGCACTTGATATGGGAAACAGCATTGATGGCCTTTGTTGTATCAAGCGCCTTCTCCTTGTCATAGTTATAAGATAGATCGCACCAGTACGCCACGTTGGTGATGTCGTTGTTACAAGGGTGTTGTTGACCTTGCATGAGAGGGGTCTGGGGCACTCCTTGAGGGCAGACCTGCACAGTGGGAGCAGAAGATGTAACCTGCTGTGGATGTACTGTGTTTGCTGGCCTTCGAGAGAGACTTGCAGCTTGAGAGTTAGGGCCTTCGGCGTCTATATAGGTGGAGAGGGTACGTCGTAGATAGACCTTCTTACTTAGAGGTTGGCCTTCCATAGCAGTCTCTAACTCTGCGGCAGATAACCATAGTAGTAGTGAGGGTTCAGCAATACCGAGGACTTCAAAGAGCTCAGCCAGCGGGTTCTCCACCATGTTAGTAGTAACACCCGCATTGGTTGACTCAACAACACTTGGGATAGCCATAATAGGTAATAAGGCTTCTTATCTTATCCATCTCAGCCTGAGGGCTGCGAGCCGTTTCATGCAACGAATAATGGGCGAGCGAGACTCGTGCATACGCGCGCGAACAGAAGCCCTGCTAACGTGTGATTATGCTATACCGTTAGTATGATATCATTTCATTACGGTTCTACTGTGTTACGGCTGTTATATTGCTTCGTGCGAATCATGGTCTGTGCATGCGTGTTGTCTGTTATTCCTGCGTGAACGCGGGCGCGTCACACGTAAGGCTTTAAGGTTGGTTCTGAAGTTGATTCTCTGGATCTTCCCTTGGAGCCTGGACTTACGCACAGGGTCTAAGGTATATGGTTTTATTATTGTATACCCGCTAGTGGTTACGCTTCCATCAATAGCTGAGGGATAGTATATGGTATTTGTCGAGCGACAGATATTGAGTTCA